AATATCTCTGTGTGGAGCATCCATTCTGTCGGTGATGGTAGGTGTGGCCGAGAGGGAGCGTCTGCAAATACATTCTTTGCTCCTCGAATGTGACATGCTCTGACATGTATGTTTAGATTGTCGATTAAATCGAACAATCGGAAACATAGAGACAATAGGTTCGGTTGAGCCTTGTTTGTTCACATAAAACGCCACTGTCGAATTGTCTCTGTGAATCATCAACTGAGCGTTCTGTAGTAAGTTGCTCCAGTGACTTATGGCGTTTATGACTGCTTGCATCTCTAGCAGATTTATGTGTAACTTGCTCTCTTGATTGCTCCATAGGCCTGACGCTGTCCTGTTGGCGAGATGGGCTCCCCAACCTTGTAGTGACGCGTCTACATAGAGATGTGTTTCCGATTCCGGCTCTATTAAGGAGACGCCTACGCAAACATTCAATTTCTTGGTCCACCATAGTAGGTGAGGTTTGACGTGATCTGGTAGACTGAACGGTAGAGAGTCTTCGAGATGCGAATTGATGAGGACTTGCAACGGGCGTAGTTTGCCTCTGACTGTCAAGTCTTGAGCTGATGTGAGTAATCCCAATAGGCTCTGCCACTGTCGTAGTGGTAGCGGAGAGAGTAAGGCTTGTGGGATTGACTGTTGGATCTTGATCCATCTGTCCTCCGGTACTACTATACGATTCTGGGCTGTTAGAAATCGTATACCTAGAAATTGCAGATCTTGCGTTGGCTCTAGGTCTGACTTGAGTAGATTTACTAACAATCCTCGTTGAGTTAGTAACTTGATTATAAAGTTCAGCTGTAGTCTGAGACGCTGTGGATCTGGATCCACTTGTATCCCGTCATCTATGTAAAACGCGCTGCGAAGACGATGTAGGTATGAGACGATAGGTTTCGTCACTCTTGTGAATAACCAAGGGGCCGATGAGATTCCAAAGGGAAGTACTTTCCATTGGTTATGTATTCCATCTTGGATAAATCTTAGATATTTCCTTGAATCTGGATGAATCAGAATGTGTAGATATGCGTCTTGCAGTTCTATGCTGGCCATGTAATCTCTGGGACGAATTAAGTGCCGTAGTTGCGGTAGGTGTATCATGCGAAACGCTGGCGGTTTGCTTAGATAGTCTCTGTTGAAGAGGCTCATGTTGTATATGAGACGAAAGTTTTCCTTGGAATTTTTCTTGGGCACTAGGAAAACTGGGGAGTAGAAACCTGGTACGATGTTTCGTTGATCCAGAACTTCTAAGGCCTGTTTGTTTAAAAGAGTAGCTACTGTTTCTCTTAACATTGGTAGTTGTAACGGATGGAAGTCGAACCTTGGAGGGATGACTGTCAACGGAGGTTTGGCCTTGAGTTGTATTTGATATCCGTGCTGTAGGATGTTGGATACATAAGGATCTTGTAGGAATCCCCAGTTTTCCCAGTGCAGCTGAAGGCGTCCACCCACTTGAGAAGGTTGTACTGGAATGGCTGGGGGTGGAAGACTCCAGTCGTTCCGAACCTGTATTTCATCGTTTAAAAGAGCGGGAACCTCTGGATGACCTGCCTCTTGCTGATCCTCCTCTGAAATTGCTGTATGGGCGACGAAAAGACTCCTTAGGACCTTTTGCTGTAGCCTATTTCTTGTCCCGTGCTTTCTGTAGTCCAGAGAATTTCGACTTGCCAGAGTATCTCAAGGATGTTTGTTTAATGACATTAGCTAACGTATCCATGGACTTAATCATAAGCACTTCTCTAGAGTCCTTAGACACCTCTTTGGAGACCTTGTCTATGTTACCACCAAAGAGATATGGAGATGACCACGGGGCAGCGTAGAGGGATTCAGTAAATTGATTACCCCAAGTACAGGAGGTTAGGAGACTCTGACGACGAGCCATAGTAGTAGCTGCAGAAAGAGCTGACAAGTGATCTGTTAGGAACTGTTGGTCTCTTTTCTGCATGAGTAGAGCCGAGTAGATCATCCTATCTTCTTCATCTGTAGAATCTTTGAACTTAGTGATGAGAGTTTCATTGACAGTTCTAGATCTATTCAATCCAAAAAACATTCTCCTAGAAATGGTATCCAACTGGGCTAGCTTGCGATCGTCTATTCTGTAATTCCTGGACTTGGCATCGCTGATTAACTTAAAGTTGTCATCAATATCTTGAGCCTTGAAAAAGGAGTCCATATTGTGGCCTGCAAACTTCTTGGCGTTGAAAACCGGGAAATGTGCTGTCTGAAACTTCGTAGATTTGGTAAAAGCTGCATCCAGATTAGCTGGAACCGCTGCTATCGGGTCAATAGGAGGTAAGGAGATAGTGTCAGCATCATCTTCCTTCATCAAATAAGTATGGGCTGAGTTCTCGTTCTTAGACGGGGAAGAAAGTTCCAAACCATTCACCATCCAGTATCTAATTTCTGCATCCGAGAATACGATACCTTCTTCCTCTTCTGACGTAGGATCACAGATAATAGAGTGAGGTGGAGTCCTAGATCTATATGAGGATCGTCAAGAAGATTGTGGTGAACGGACTGACGAGTGGCTAGTATAGGGAGACCTTGGTGGAGACTTCCTCTGCGAACGCTGGTGGCTTCGTGAAGCTCTCGATGAATCCCTTATAGATCTTCTGGGTGAAGATGACTTGGAGCCACTTAACCTTCGTGAAGGCCTTCATGAAGGTATCGAGTCAGAGTCCGAATCATTAGATAGGAGCTTGCTTCGCGAACGACCTCTGTGTTCATCAGGGTCTGAGCTCGGTGAAGCACTCCTCCTCCATGAAGCCTTTCACGAATGGTGAGGATCTGGGTCCTTCGTGGAGGCGGCCTGGGACGTCATTCGCGAAGGCTTCGATACGGGCTGGGTTGCCCTTCGTGGAGGCGCGTTTGTGGGCTCTGGGGCCCTACGCGAAGTCATAGCGGGCTCTGGGGCCCTACATGAGTTTAAATGGGTTGGGCTCTGGGGCCCGCGGCTCTTGAGGCCTCTGTAAACCATATCGGTCTTCCATCAGCATCATAATCGGTTGACCAGGTCTTCTGGGACGGTCTGCGCTGATGTTGACGCTGCCCTCTCTATGGTAGCGACGGGACCCTCAGGTAGAATCTCTGCCGTCAGCGTAGGCATCTCTGGCTGCGTGTTGATCTGCGCTGAAGTGACGGTAGCCGATACTTGTCGCTTCTTATGCTACATCTGGAATGATAATCGGTATATCGTCATCATATAAACACAATTCTGACAGGAAGAATGTCAGATGAAAATATTTTTTGGAGTCTTCGTAGGTTTCACTTTCGACGAAGCTGTAGCCCTGGGGGTGCGGAGCGTACGTTGTGACGACGTGGAAGCTCTCCTGGTCTTAGACTAGGACGACGGGATGTCCTGGGATGCAGGTCGCTTCTTGGATATAGCGGACTGTGTCCCACGCTTCTCCCCCGAAGGTAACTCAAGCGGAACACCAGACGGTAGAGGGTCGTGTTGACAGGGTACATCTGACTCTGATCTATCAGCCATGACTGAAGACTGTTTCCGAGATCTATCTGCTGCACGTCTCAAGACGCAATATAAATATTTATCAAAGGCAGAATTAGACAATTTAATACACAAATTGCAACGTGAAACAGTAGAGCATGGCGTAGTACAACTAGGGCATATTAAATGCGGATCGGCAGCAGAGAAACGTAATTTACAAACAGTGCAGATTTTCATTAACGCAATCTACTCAGCAAACACGGCGGACCGTGATTAAAGCAGCAGAAACACGAATAATATCAATGCATGTTGTATAAGGATACTAGTTACACCTCTATAGAAGATTATAGAGGTAAACAACTAAATATAAACAAGAAGACAAAGTCATCAATATCCCCCGCAATGGCAAAATACTCTTCATGATTATGTCTACGAGTTATGATTATGTGTAATATTTAGGTGTGTATATAGAAAAGTGGAAGGAGAGTATTGAAAGGTTTTTAAAGTTCTGCTCCAAAAAGGAGCACAACCACCATTTTCAGTCTAAGTCAAACTTGTTGCCATGGAAACGCCAAACATATTTTATTCAGAATTCCAAAACTACCAAAAGGCACCAGTACACCACCAGATCTATCTATGTGCCAAGTTTGGTGAATGGTGAAGAAATAGTGAACAGTTTTAGAGTTCAGCTCCGGAAAAAAGCACAACCACAATTTCAAGCTAAGTCAAACTTGTTGCCATGGAAACGCCAAAATATTTTATTCAGAATTCCCAAACTACCAAAAGGCACCAGTACACCACCAGATATATGTATGTCCCAAGTTTGGTGAAGAAACATTGAACAGTTTTTGAGTTCTGCTCCGGAAAAGAGCACTACCACCAATTTCAGTCTAAGTCAAACTTGTTGCCATGGAAACGCCAACAATATCTTATTCAGAATTCCAAAACTACCAAAAGGCACGAGTACACCACCAGACCAATCTATGTGCTAAGTTTCGTGAAGAAATAGTGAACGGTTTAAGAGTTCTGCTCTGGAAAAAAAGCACAACCACCAATTTCAGTCTAAGTCAAACTTGTTGCCATGGAAACGCCAAAAATATTTTATTTAGAATTCCAAAAATACCAAAAGGCACCAGTACACCACCAGATCTATCTATGTGCCAAGTTTGGTGAAGAAATAGTGAACGGTTTTAGAGTTCTGTTCCGGAAAAGACAAAAGTGCACGGACGGATGGACAGACGGACGGACGGAGTCCATTTTAATACCCCCCGCAAAACGCGTTGCGGGGGATAATAAAGGATATAGTGTGTAGGGAGACACAGGCGCTCTCACGTCCTGCTCACTGGGCGAAGAAGGAGAGAGTGAGGCACATGGCAGGAGGTGGCGCCCTCGTTCCCGCGCTTACGAGGGGACAGATAACTCGTGGTGAGTACTAATTAGTGATTTTACATTGAAGGGAACTTCAATTGGGAGATACAAGTGTTCCACTGTGTTCGCAAGAAGAAGAAGACAAGCAAGTAGCATGAGTCAGGATAAGGAAAAATAAGCTTAGTGACAAGGTCATATTTATTAAAACATTTTTCCATATTTTAAATAAATAGAAAGTATAACAATTATTGTAAACATCACAGATATCACAAACATATGTTAGGATACATGGGTAAATAAACACTTTTCTGGCCTAGTCATTAACAGAGTAAACAGGATTCATCAGCACATGGCCAGATTTCAAAGTTCATAAATAATTAATACCACTGCAGTTTTATGGCAGAACATTGACTTAAATATCACAACTTTCATAGATATTTAAGTCTTAGGAATGAGTTGACTGTGAGTGAAAATACAGTTGCAAACTATACACATTTTTACACACAGCAGTAAACAAGTAAACGTTCTGCTGTTTTAGTTTTGTTGTGCTTCTTCCAATGGACTTCTTTGCATGAAAAATGATGTGGATAAATTCTTGTGTGACTGTTGATGACCAAATCTTGAATCTGAAACAGAAATAACCAAATCATGTGAAATGACAGATACTAGGATACACATGAATACTGTCAGAGACCTGTGCTTTCTATTTAAAACCGGGGCGGTGGGGTAGCCTAGTGGTTAAAGCGTTGGTTCGTCACGCCGAAGACCCGGGTTCGAATCCCCACATGGGTACAATGTGTGAAGCCCATTTCTGGTGTCCCCCGCCGTGATGTTGCTGGAATATTGCTAAAAGCGGCGTAACACCAAACTCAGTCAGTCAGTCAGTCTATTTAAAACCACAATCAGCAATATTCCATCAGTAAGATGAGGTCTGTAAATAACTGAGTCAGTCAAGTGATTTATACAATGGGCAATCAATGGTCCACTAGGGTATGTGGGGATGCAATCAACTAACAACCAGCATGGGATGCTAGGTAGTCCAACCTTGAATCCCACAGGTTTCGCAACTAACAAAGTGGTGCTCAGGACGTGTTCTACCCTCCATACAGAATCAACACTATGAATACTGTTCATTCACTGTTTGCAGAACTCAAATCTTAAAGAGAGCCCTCACAGCCAAAGGATAATATGGATAAATCTCATGAAACCAGAATCTACGTTGATCAAAGGAAATCTATGAATCTATTGACAAGTAGAGCCTTCTCGTGATGAAAAGAACTGGCCCTCCAAATACAAATATTTTTTACAGTATAACGATAAAGACTACCAATTGACACACCAGGCGACTGACTCTAAATAAACAGGAGGTCCTATGATATATCTGCCTGCCACAGGCAAGGATAGGAGATAACTGGACCTTGGCAAACCTTGGGAAGACTGAAGGAGTGAATGTTTAATGTTATATTCTACTTCAGAATCCTGACTGATTTTGCTTGATGTTCTCAAGCAGGTTTATGGAAGGCAAATCTTCGCATAGTTTGCAAGATGATGAATCCTTGATCCTTGAATTTGCAGTCCTAATAATCACACAGACATATGATTCAGATACACAAGCAGTTCAAAAGTAAATAAAATTTGTAGTTACCTCGCAGGTTTGCCTATGTGGATGCTTGTTGCTCTGCACATGTGAAGATAAAGAAATCATCAGATCAGTGGCTGACACCAATAGCATGATAAATGAGTAACAACAAAGTACAATGTACTAAAAACATTTACATACATAAATAACATCTAGATCAGTGTGAACTTCATTTACCTTCAGGTTTAGTCTCTTCCTTCTGCTCAGTTTTGGTTTCATCATCTTTCTTTGCATCTTCCTCCTTTGTATCTTCCTCCTGTTTAGCCTCTTCCTCCTTCTTCTCTGACCTGATGTCCAAACATCAATCTCAACTGCTTCAACTTTAGCACATGTACACAGATATTACAAGTGACTGACATGGAAACATAAACAACACAATTTCACATCAAACATCTTCCCCATATTAGGAGACTGACTGAGTTTAATTTTACGCCACTTTTAGCAATATTCCAGCAATATCACGGCGGGGGACACCAGAAATGGGCTTCACACATTGAGCCCATGTGGGGAATCGAACCCGTGTTTTCGGCGTGACGAGCCAACGCTTTAACCACTAGGCTACCCCACCGCCCCCATATTAGGAGAGGTGGACTGGCATCATCAACATAGAAATACACCAGTGTTGTGAGTAAACTGTGCAACAATGTAAGTGAATGTTGTATTGCTGAATCATCGTTAATCATCACTATTCCAGTTATCTTAGAATGAACTATAAACACTTCTAACTAAGTGTTAACCAGACAAGTAGCATATTCAACAATCCATGGTGGTGAGGTACACCAAGATCTGACACTGTACAGACACCCAACACTTCGCAGTTGGCTCTTATGACATAGATGGATACAGAGGCATCTATTCTGTGCAAAGCTTGAGAGTTGGAAGAACATGTTACAAAGACAAACACCTGTTATCCTTCAAACAGTTAGTTTCTATAGTCCGTTTGGCTCAAAAGCGGACCGATGAATTGCAATCTAACTCGAAAACTAATAATCATAAAATACTCAATAAAACACTGATCATAATCAAAACATCATACCCACTCTGTGAGGTTTTTGCAGAATTTTTGTCCTAAAAATAAAAAAGTTGTTTAACAATCTATCATTAAACTATTGACACAGTTCACAATTTGTTACGAGGGAGGAGCGCAGAGAAAGGGACAGCCAGGTGTTCGAGAACGGATGGAGACGGCACAGCACAGGTTAATGAATAAATAACTTTGTCTGTGAACGTGCTTCTCTGCGCTCCTCCCTCGTAACAAACAGTGAACTGTGTCAATATTTTAATGATAGTTTGTTAAACAACTTTTTTATTTTTAGGACAAAAATTCTGCAAAAACCTCACAGAGTGGGTATGATGTTTTGATTATGATCAGCATTTCATTGAGTATGTTATGTTTATTAGTTTTTGAGTTAGATTGCAATTCATCGGTCCGCTTTTGAGCCACTTTTGAGCTTTTGACAGTACCACAAGGTGAAAGAAACAGGGAGGGCATTTACTATTGATAATTTGGTTTGCAGATCTGCTGACCATAAACATCAGGAATATTTTACATTTATTACGTAAGAGCCTGAAAGTCCCACATAAATTACAAAAATATGCATCCCAAATGTAGAATTCATGATGTTGACATAAAGAGAGTACCGGGGTATATACATTTTTAAACATTCCTGAAGAATAGAGAATTTTAACTTATTTCCCGTCCAGTGTACCAAGCCATCTTTTTTTCTCTAAAAATATTTAAAGGGTCAAGTTTTAGTTTCCCCAACACATCTCCCGAAGTAGTAAACCGACAAATATCAAAAGGCAACTGACTTATTAATGGGAATTCTAAGATCTATCATTACCAATACTCCTGGATGATATACTATATTTCAATTCTGTTATGTTAAATACAGGGAACTCACTCACTACAAGAACGCCATTTTATGAAGGGACATCACCATCTCCTGCACTTATAATAAGTAACTTTGCATTGACTGATTTTTGGTCATGAATGTAATTTGCTTTGTTTTAGTTTCATATTAATGGATTTATAGTCGAAATGAACCTTGTGCAAATTGGTCTTGGCTATTTCCAGACAAAAATGAAAACTGAGGAGGGTGGACTACTAGCTGAGATTCCGTAATGATTAGATAGACTTGGACACTTTGAGATTATACAGAAACTGATCTTATTGAAGGATTATAGATCATTTTGATGATCCTTCATATACAAATGTCCACATAATCTATCTTATAGGTCTCAATGGAAAATTAGTTTTAGAAATTTGGGATTCATCAAATGTAGTTCGGTACCCCTCAAATGATGTGACATGCTTCATTGGGAAATGAACTACAGCTGATTTGGTAGCGTTCACCCAGGTGAGGTCATCTGCTACTGTCAATACAATGTGTGTTTAGGACGACACTAAAAGCTGCATTGTCCCACCTTGGTCTCTATGATATGAAGGTTTACTCTAAGATATATATATGTTCAACCTATGCTCTCAATGAACAAGATTCTTTTTATACCTTCTGCGTTGTCTTCGCTAGTCTCTTGTTTAGTCTCTCCAGACTCTTCCTCTGTAAAACAGCCATTAAAACTACATTCTGCTCCAGTCAGCTATATTACTATATTTACCATTTCATCATTACAAAAAACATTAGTTTATTTCTGCCAGTTTGACTTGCTCAGGTCAAGGCCAACTTCTCATTTCTTGACAATGTGGTTACAAAGGACAAACAAACAATGAGAACAATTATTGAAGTGAAAACATGCCAGAATGACATTACACAGTGGCATTAAAGTGTTCTGAATCAGATTAAAGTTAATTGTTAAAAAGCTGGGCATGTGGAGGTTAAGGTTCAAACTTGGTGAGGAAAAACATGCAAGCAAGGATGCAGGGAGGTCTAAACAGGCCATTTTTCTACACCAAATCCCACTTAAGCAGGTGTTTCAGTATGGTTGGGATTGGGTCTATCAGCAATATTCTATCTATAAACCCATTGTAACTGGACCAGGCAAACCAATGATTGACAGCATGAGCAGTCCTCCCTGGTGTTTGTATACGATGACACAAACATCCAGAGTACTATTCATCCCGATATTTTCAAGCAGACAGGAATTGAAGCAGAGTTAAAGATTTTAGTGGGTACTAGGGAACATTTCCTTCAGGAATGTCTACAAAGTCAGTAGTATTAATGCTATGTAAAGTTAACTAAGGTTTTAAGTAAACTTTAAGTATCACTCAGGTCTGTATATAATATGTAAAGCACTTCTTGTAGCAGGAGGGACGTATAATACTAGTGGAATGCTCAATTATGGGGCATATAAGCAGTTATGCAAATGAGACATTAAAGCATATATATATTAGAAATGCAAAGTTGTCCAATATGGCGAACATTTTGTGGGATATGCATGATGCTGGATATATTTAGGTGAAAAAGGAAAAGGGATATATGTAACTAAAGTGGGAAAGAAATGAAGTTGAATCATTGCAGAAAGCTGACACCTGATTGGCTCTAGAAGCCACAAATCTTTCATGAACACTGGACGGTCAAAGTTTGCTTAAGGGCCACCTAGCATGACCTCCTATGAAGGTGTCTTCAGATCTTCATGCATATTCATAAGACATATGATTTTACTGAGATAGAAAGCTGACACCTGATTAGCTCAAGAAGCTACCCATCCTTCATGAACACTCGACGATCAAAGTTCGTTTAAGATCCTTCTAGCATGACCTCCTACAAGGTGTCTTCAGATCTTCATGCATATTCGTAAGACATCTGATTTTAATGAGACAGAGAGTATAAAGGGTCATGATAATGTGAATGTGGCAGTGGTAGGTGTCTAGTTACAGTAGCACTATGGGCACAAGCAGGGTTATGTATGGGGTTTACAAGGGTCAGTAGTGCAGGGTTATACTCTCTAACCTGTTCCCTCTTGTCGGAACTCAGGAGCAACATCATTGGCCTCAACTTGTGTCTCTTCCACAGCTGACAGGGAAACATGGACATGTCAGTAGTCGAGAGAGCAGTTCAAAGTTTGATATTGGACTAATAATTATTTGAAATGTTTCCCCAAAACATTTTTGTGACATGTTGTAATGTTAAAAGAGGACTTCCCCAAAAAGTAGTAATCAACATAAATCAAATGGAAACTGTGTTGAGGAAGTGTGTTGAAATTCTCTTTCGTCTCCTTGTACTCCCTATACTTGTGATGTTATTCATCTTCAAAGAAGACAAATAGAGCTGTTATTCAAGGATTTGAGCAATAAAGAACTCTAAAACTTTAAACTTTAAAACTATATTGTCAGACCTGTTCATGCCCTCAGATCCAAAATTTATGAACTGAGATTTTTTGCAAAGCAGCAAACCGCTGAAGTGATCTTTAAGTCTACATAGAGTTTGTGGAGACGCCTGAGTTTTGCATTCATAGGACAATCTTATCAATGTTTTGGTAGTGAAACTATCTATCAATATTTTGTCTGAGGTTGACAAAATTGTGCAAATACCGTAAATGTATTTTTCATGTTAATGTTAGTGACATCTTCCAGGAAGTCATTTTTTACTTTGTGTTAGAACTACTGTAAACCTTTAGAGATTTATACAGTTACAGCAGTTGAAATGTTGATTTTCTGGATTAACAACATGTCTGTTTATACTTGTTACAGCACAGACATGAGGAAAAGTGGTGATATACTTGGTAGTAGTAAAAGAATCAGTAATGAAATCAAAGAATAGAGTTATCATCTATAGGAAAAGATTATATATCAGTCGCCACGTCTGTAGAATAATTAGAACTGAACATGTACTTAAAAGAGCCACATATACATACATGTCAAATGTTATTACTTTAATAAGGGTACATAAATCACCAAAGCATCACACATACACAAGCTGGATTGAATATTTAAGGGCATCTGAGTTCCCACTGAATATCCAATCCCATCTGGCAATATATAATTTACTGGAGAGGTTAAAGAAAAACAACAAAACATACTGTGGTTGATAGAATGGGTAATGTGTTTGTAGAATCATGCAAAAACATTCCAAGATCTTTTTCTGTTTTTGTGTGAGGCACTAAACTGTTCTCTGAAAAGAAATGGTTAAGGCTTTTTCGGTTTACAAATCACTTACCAGGCTCATCTTGGTCTTTTGTGGGTTCACTCTCTGCAATATCAATTAAGTGATACTTAATCATCAGTTAATTAGACAAATCTCTGTAAACAGTGCAGTGTTTTACCCTGGCAATAATCGTAGCTTGAGTCAAGTAAACAAAACTTTAACCTTTCCATGTTAGCAAATTAACTCA